ATCACCCTTGGTAACCACTGTTTTATTCTATCTACATGCATATTTGACCTTTTTTGTTTTGGATTCTATATATAAGTGATCATATGATATTTTTCTTTCTGTATTTGGCTTATTTCACTTAGGATCTCCTTATTTATTTAATTATGTATTTGTTATTTTTGAGATGGAGTCTCGCTCTGTCGCCCAGGCTGGAGTGTAGTGGCACCATCTCTGCTCACTGCAACCTCCACCTCCCGGGTTCAAGGGATTCTTCTACCTCAGCCTCCCAAGTAGCTGGGACTACAGGCCTGCATCACCATGACTGGCTAATTTTTGTATTATTAGTAGAGACAGGGTTTCACCATATTGGCCAGCTGGTCTTGAACTTCTGACCTCATGATCCACCCTCCTTGGCCTCCCAAAGTGCTGGGATTACAGGCATGAGCCACTGTGCCCAGCCAAGGATCTGCTTTTTTAATTAAACCTTTTAACAACTTTTTAAACAGAAATTTGATTCCATTTCCCATAACCATTATAGAATACTCTCATAGGTAAATATAAAAATCATCAGGATATCTCTTCATGTAAAAATTAAAGCAAAAATATTTAAGTCTCATCCCAATCCACTTATTCTTCCATGCTTTTCAGATTGGGTGCAGTCAATGAAAGTACAACGAGGAAAGTTAGAGTGCAATTTGGCCCACAATTGGTAACTAAATATGAAAATTGGAGTGAATCTAAATATTAGAAGGAAACTGAGCTAGGGGGTGATCTGCTGGGTTAGATAGTATTGGAATCATTTGGCTGATGCTGCTAATTAGTTACCATTTTGTTTTTAAATGGAAACCCCATAATCAAATAAGTTTAGTAAAATTCCATGTGTTTACAGAGATCTAGTCAAAATTATTCTGTATTTTCCTATTTAAGCATCCTAGTGGAAGTCGTGTTTTGCCTTTCTAATTAAATATTTGCTTACGTGTGTGAAACAATGTCCCTGAATGAAGAAAGAAAACACAGTATCATACTATTACTTCTTATTTTTATAGGCAATTGAGTTCTAGTTTTCTTTATCCCAAGGCCTCCATTTGCCAGAAAAATATATTTGTACTATTATTCATCGTTACTTAGATCAGTTGGATTGTCAAACTCTGAAACTCTTATTACCTATGTATAATAAGAATGAGTGTGTAAAGAACAACATTGGATTAGATGCAGAGTTCTGCTTAAGCCATTTATCAGCAGCATTTTATCTTAGGCATGTTGCTTAACAATCCTTGATTTCCTCACCTGAAAAATGAGATATACCAGCTGCCTACCTTACAAGATTGCTGAGAGAAGCAATCAGATATGTTAGGATGGCAGAACCACCAAGAGTGTAAAAGTACAGATTTGGAGTTCAAGGAACCTCAGTTGGAGACCTGTTGTTACCATTTACTCTGTAATCTTGGGCGAGTAACTTAACTTCCAAGTCTTAATTTCCTTTTCTTCCAAATAGGGGTCATGATAAGACATATCTCACACACTTATTGAGAGGATTAAATGACACCATAAAGTACTGAACATGTATGATAATGGCTAAAGGTGTTGAGCACTTCCTGTGTTCCAGCTACCTGATCACATATATGAATGTGCTCTGTAGGCTGGAAAGCCACGTAGAGGGGGAAGCCCAGTTCATGTGCTTTTCCATTGCCAGCCTTTCCTCCCATATGCAGAGATCCTAGCCAGGGTACTCACTTTTAGGGATGAGGAAGAGGCCAATTTATAGGATCTACTGCTCCAGAGAGGAAAGCTCCTGGGTGAGGCACTATACCTGGAACAAGATCTCTACCCCAAGCATTGAATTTGGTTGAGTCTCGGAGGAAGCAGACCTGTTGTCTTGCATTCTGCATGCATTTCTGGTGGACTTTATCACAAAGGTCTGGGACTCTTGGAAAAGGAAAGGACAGCCAGAAGGAATGAAGAAATAAAGAAGCTTTCTGTCTCTCAAATCAGACTCCACCTTTTGGTTGCCACTGCCTTCAACTAACAAAGAAATTACCTGTCATTTTATTGTTATAACTATTTTTATGATTGTCAGCATAACTGCCATTATTGTTAACACCTAAGTGTATAGTGAATGCTTAGAATGGACTAAGTTGCTTACAATGGACTAAGTTCATTGACTTCTTCCAACAATCTCAAAAATTCTGTGAGGAAGTTTTTTTGTTGTTGTTGTTTGTTTTTTGAGATAGGGTCTCGCTTTCACTCTGTCATCCAGGCTGGAGCCTGTCACGGTGCAATGACAGGATAAACAGTTCACTGCAGCCTCACCTTCCAGACCTCAAGTGATCCTCCCGCGTCAGCCTCCTGAGTCAGCCTCCTGAGTAACTGGGATCACAGGCTTGCCATAGCGCCTGGCTAATTTTTTAATTTTTTGTAGTGACTGGAGTCTTACTATGTTGCTCAGGCTGGTCTTGAACTCCTGGGCTCAAGCACTCCTCCTGCCTCAGCCTCCCAAAATGCTGAGATTACAGGTTTGAGCCACTGCAGAAGCCACCAGCCTCAGGAAGATTCTATCATTATCCTTATTTACAAATTAATAAAGTGAGAATTAATCGGAGAGAATAAAATACTTGCCAAAGTACAAGTGGTATTGCTGAGACGCAAACTTGGAACTGTCTAGCTCTGAGCTCCTATTTCCAATTAATATGCTACTCTTCAATTAATTACTGACAACTAGAGTTCAAACTCAACAAGGCACTTGAGTTTAAAATCCATGCATTATGGCCGGGCGCCGTGGCTCACGCCTGTAATCCCAACACTTTGGGAGGCCGAGGCGGGCGGATCACGAGGTCAGGAAATCGAGACCATCCTGGCTAACACGGTGAAACCCCGTCTCTACTAAACATGCAAAAAATTAGCCGGACGTGGCGGCGGGCGCCGGTAGTCCCAGCTACTCGGGAGGCTGAGGCAGGAGAATGGTGTGAACCCCGGAGACGGAGCTTGCAGTGAGCCGAGATCGCGCCAGTGCACTCCAGCCTGGGCGACTGAGTGAGACTGCGTCTCAGAAGAAAAAAAAAAAAAAATCCATGCATTATGTTTGCTTAAACACACACAGCACCCAAGTCAGTGAAAATCAGGAAACGGACAATTAGCAAATGCCATTTGAATATTTGTCAACTCTCACCAAGATCTAGGAGAAATCTTCTCAAGATGATGAGAAAGATGCTATCCAAATTAATACTTAGTTTAGTCATCCTAATTCTAATGACTTAGCATACTAACACTTTTAAACAATAGAAACATCTTTACACCCATTTTTTTAGGGAAAGCCATTGTTATTTGCACTTTATTTTAGCGCCATTGGTTTCTCTGTTGCTCTAAAACTTAGATGGCCTCGGAGCTCCCCCTCCCTCATGCCCTCAGGACCTCAGAGGAGTGAGGATGGAGAAAAGGTTTAGGTTGGGTGCAGGGAGAACCTGTGTTGGTCAGGCAGCCTCACCTCTGTCCTGTTCCTCCCAGCCCCAGGAAAGCTGTCCTCTCCTTCCCCCACCCCTAGACTGCCTTTCTTGAAGCAAGACAGCAGTACTTGGGCAGTTTACTCAGCACTTCCAGGGTCTTTACAACAAAAATGAGTTTCCGCTCAACTTGTCCTCTCTTTTGAAAACCCAAAAATAATGATTTGGGGATGAAAGTCAATGTGCTGAAACACAAAACAATCTCATGTTGTCAAACAGAAAGTAAACTTTAACCTTCAGAAAATTTTTTGGTTTTCCTGTCTTATTGTTTTAAGATGTATTCTCACATGGTTTTTTCATATTACAAAGAAGAGTTTTCTTAAGCTTATTGTAATTGATTGTAATTAGCTCCCTTAAATTAATAGATGAAGTTGAGTGTAGCTAGAGTCTTCAAACCATTTGTCAGCCAAAACTATAGGATTTACTATCTAAACAAGCTCATTTAAATGTTTCACATTAATTACATAGCTATTATAAATGCAGACTGGAAGAAAAGCCTTGATGGGATTTGTTCTATTCTCTTCTGCTGATGTAGCCTTAATTGCACATGATAAGAAAATACTTTTAGTCTGAAAGTATGCCAGACTGCCATGACCACTCTAACAACCTGCTTCAGTGAAATATCAAACAAATGTCATGTCAGTGTGTGCCTCACAGGTGGAAAAAAAAAACCAGTTTCCCCTATTATTCAGTGAAAATATGAGAGAGATATCTTTTGTACAGTACCTTCAAAAAAAGAAACAATCACTCATACATTTTTTTAAAACCCATGTGAATTGTAATTGTATTGTAACGATTTGTAAATCTCAGGGTAAACAGCGGTGAGCTCTTCAGCCAGACTGGATTCTAGCAGTCAGGACATTTCAGCCTTGGATAATCAATCAGGGGACTGGAAAGGAGTAATTTCAAGGTGGTAACCGAGTACTCCCAACACCATTTATGTATAATTTATCACAGCAGTGATACACACACTGATTGCATATCTGCTTGAGGATGTGTACAATCAACAGCTATTTATCTATGGCCAATTTATAACATAGTGCCAGCTTCAACCTTTGAGGCAATAGAATCAAGACTGTAACATTAGCTTTAGAAAAACATAATTAGAAAGGTAAATACACTGGATTCAGGAGCCAAATACAAATTCCTTTTGGATAATGTGCAGTGATGGATTACCAAATTATCTATATGGTTAATCTCCTTCATTAGTGTGAATAATTCAGAATTGGATATAATTACTTACATGTTGAAAGTGATGATAGTTATAACATCAGTTTCACTAATTCTATCAAAATGGTTTGTTCTTTGCCAACAATCTTTTCTTTAAAACCTGTTTTTATGCATGCAATTTTGTTTGCTTCTTGGGTTTGCTGATTTTAAAAGACACAGATCTAGGCATGATTATTCATAGCTGGGGGGAAAAAGTCCCTAATAATTCTGGCTTGAAGGGAAGTTAATATGGTAATTTACTGTATTCCACAGTCCCAAAGATGATCATTCTGGCTTTGCTTCTCTCTTCTGCAGCAACCATCCACTATGGGTTATGCAAGACAAATCATTAAGAAGGAAGGCTGGGGACTCCAGGGCCTCAACAAAGGATTAACTGCAACTTTGGGACGACATGGAGTTTTCAACATGGTTTATTTTGGCTTCTACTACAATGTCAAAAACATGATTCCTGTCAATAAGGTAACTATTTAATAAATTAAAATCCTGGAGGAAAAATCCTATCCGTGAGATAGCTCCATTTGTAGAATGTTTATCCTGTCCCGGTCACTGTGCTGGACACCTACATCTATTATCTAATTCGATCCTTACATCTGCATTGAGTGCTGTTATCCCTATTTCAAATCCAGATGCGGAGGCTTAGAAAGATCAAGGAAATTGGCCAGGCGCGGTGGCTCATGCCTGTAATCCCAGCACTTTGGGAGGCCGAGGCGGGCGGATCACAAGGTCAGGAGATCGAGACCACGGTGAAACCCCGTCTCTACTAAAAATACAAAAAATTAGCCGGGCGCGGTGGCGGGCGCCTGTAGTCCCAGCTACTCAGGAGGCTGAGGCAGGAGAATGGCGTGAACCCGGGAGGCAGAGCTTGCAGTGAGCCGAGATCTCGCCACTGCACTCCAGCCTGGGTGACAGAGGGAGACTCCCCTTTTAAAAAAAAAAAAAAAAAGAGAAAAGAAAGATCAAGGAGATTGCCCAGGCTCACATAGTAAACAGTAAAGTTGAGGACTGAACCCAAGTCTGACACCAAAATTTATCTTCTTGAAGAAGCTATTGTTACAACTGAGTGCTTTCCCTTTATTACTAATAGGAATTTCTAGAAACTATATTATTACTTACTTTTTGTCTCAGGAGTATAACTTTCTCAAGAAAGTTGAAAGTTTTATATTTTAAATAAGTTTTAAACTCACAAGGAAAAATTGTCGGCCTAAAATTTAAATTTCACCTGGGTATTAATTTTTAATCTAGGTTAATTGGGGTAGGTAATCAATCGATTCTTCTAGAATCATTTGCTTTTGATGCAAAATAACAATGATGATAATTATTTCATCATCTTCAATATTATTATTTTGAAATGACAGTTTATAGGCTGGGTGCAGTGGTTCATGCCTATAATCCTAGCACTTTGGGAGGCAAAGGCAGGAGGATTGCTTGACACCAGGAGTTTTGAAACCAGCCTGGGCAACACAATGGGACCTCTCTACAAAAAATTAAAAAATTAACCAGACATGGTGGTGTCCACTTATAGTCAAGCTACTTGGGAGGCTGCAGTGGAAGGAGCGCTTGAGCCCAGGAGTTCAAGGCTGCAGTGAGCTATGGTTGCGCCACTGCACTCCAGCCTGGTGACAGAGTAAGACCCTATTTCTTTCTTTCTTTTACTTTTCCTTTCTTTTTTTTATTTTTCTCTTGGAGGCAAAGTTTCACTCTTGTCACCCAGGCTGGAGTGCAATGGCGCAATCTCAGTTCACTGCAACCTCTGCTTCTGGGGTTCAAGAGATTCTCCTGCCTCAGCCTCCCGAGTAGCTGAGATTACAGGTGCCTGCCACCACACCCAGCTAATTTTTTTTGCATTTTTAGTATGGCCTGGGTTTCACCTTGTTGCCCAGGCTGGTCTCAAACTCCTGACCTCAGGCGACCCACCCACCTCGGCCTCCCAAAGTGCCAGGATTACAGGCGTGAGCCACCGCGCCCGGCCAAGTAAGACCCTATTTCTAAATAATAATAATCATAATAATAACTTTTTAAATGGTAACTTACAGATACGAACAGCCTTTTTCAACTTCTGCACTATAAAAGTAGCACAGGATGTGCTTTTAAGCCATAGTATCACAGAATTTTCCCCTATCATCAAATTGCTTGCTTGCAATTAAAATTGCAATCCTGGATGCACCAGTTGGATGGAGTAACATTTTTCACAAGCAGGCAGTTTCCCTTAGGGGTCCAGTTCTTCATTTTTCTTAGTAGAAAAGTATTGAAGGACTTTTTTTTAAATCATAAAACTATTTCTAGTTTGGCTGACCAGACTGTTCAGTAAAGTTAGTTGTACCTATCTTTGCCCAGCTATCCCCCGTATTCTAGTAAAGGCCAGGACTTTTCTCAAATAACAGCTGAATCTACACCATGTGTTCCACATTAACCGTCTGTTGGCATTGCTTCACTTCACTAACCAAAGTTGTTAACCAGGTTTCACTGTATTTGGAAATCTCATTTATTGAGTAGAAGCTTATGTTTTTTTGGTCTGAAATCTCTGATTGGCCAGTGTATATAGACCCCCCTAGTGACTGACAATTCTGATTCCAGGGACCCTCAGAGTTCTTCTCTTGTCAAGGTGTAGAATGTGAGTGCAATAAACCCTTTGTTTCTGGATGACACAAAGAAGCTCTCAAAACACTGAGATTTTTTTTAGCAGGAACCTGCTAAATAATTTGTAAGGCCCAGAGCAGAATGAAAATGCAGAGCCCTTTGTTCAGAACTTATTAAGAATTTCAAAATAGTGACAGTAGAGCATTATACCAATCATGGGGCTCATCTCTTCTAAATGTAGGCCCCACACGACAGCACTAGTCACACACCCATGAAACCAACTCTGTTTTTCAGACTGTAAGACAACCACTCTACAAAACTACAAAAATTAGCCAGGCATCGTGGCACATGCCTGTAATCCCAGCTACTCGGCAGGCTGAGGCAGGAGAATTTCTTGAACTTGGGAGGTGGAGGTTGCAGTGAGCTGAGATGGTGCCATTGCACTCCACTCTGGGCAACAGAGTGAGGCTCCATCTCAAAAAAAAAAAGATTAATCAGATGTATGTTTGGTCATATGCTAAAAAAGAAAATCCACAAGTACAAACTTTATTCTACAATTAATCAATACACTTAAGTTATTAAATGTTCTGAATTGTTAAAAAAACAAAACAAAATAAAAAAAACCTAAACTGGCACAGTGGCTGAGGCCTGTAATCCCAGCACTTTGGGAGGCTGAGTCAGGAGGATTGCTTGAGGCCAAGAGTTGAGACAGGCCCAGGGAACATAGTGAGACATCATCTCTACAAAAAAAGATAAAAAATAAAAAAAAAAAACACATTAGCCAGGTGTGATTGCACACATCTGTAGTCCCAACTACTCTGCAGACTGAGACAAGAGGATTGCTTGAGGCTAAGAGTTCAAAACCAGCCTGAGCAACATAGTGAGACACTGTCTCTACAAAATTTTAAAAATTAGCCAGGTGCTGTGGTAAGTGCCTGTCGTCCCAGCTGCCTGCAAGACTAAGGTGGAAAGACTGCTTGAGCGTGGAAGGACCAGACTGCAGTGAACCATGACCATGGCACTTCACTCCAGCCTGGGTGACAGGGCAAGATCTTATTTAAAAAAAAAAAAAATGTTAGCCTGTGTCTACCCAATTTTTTCTAATGATATTCAGTGAAATGTCAACCAGCACTTTTCCAAATGAATTGTCTATTAGATAGCACTTCCCACATCTAGATTATACTAGTAACTAAGTGATTCATTTATTAATCAGGACCCTGAAAACTATCTTCTAAATCTTTAAATAAAAGATACATTTTGTTCATCATAGGTTTATAATTAATTTTTTATGTTTTTATAAGTTTTACCAAGCTGAGAACCTGTAACTGGAATGCCTCATTTCCTCACTCCCATCCAAAGTATCCTACAATAGGGAGTTTACTGAGATATGATTTGTCATTATTTTATTTATTTTGTTTATTTATTCATTTATTTAGTTAGTTTTTTTTTTTTTTTTTTTGAAACAGTGTTTCTGGGCAGCCTCCACCTCCTGGACTCAAATGATCCTCCCACCTTAGCCTCCTGAGTAGCTGGGACTACAGACATGTGCCACCACACTCAGCTAATTTTTTTATTTTTCTGTAGAAATTGGGATCTCCCTTTGTTGCCCAGGCTAGTCTTGAACTTCTGCGCTTCAGTGATTCTCCCACCTCAGCCTTTCAAAATGCTGGGATTATGGGCATGAGCAACGATGCCTGGCTTTCATTATTTTAAAAAGTGAAAGTTGAATACATTCTACTGTAATCTTCTTTGAACAGTAGTGTTGCACCAGTGAAGAATGCTAATGCATTGCTTTCTATATATTTGACTGTTAACAATTTTAAATCACAAACTTCCTTTGACAGTGCTAAAATGTGCCATGTGGATCAGAATTTCATTTCCAAGCTTTAGCTTCCAAGTTAAAAGCACTGATTCCTTTGGCAAATGAATTCTCTATTAGATATCACTTCCCATCCCCAGATTATACTAGTAAATATATACTAGATAGTACTAGTAAATAAGTGATTCATTTATTAATCAGTACTCTGATTTAATGATCTAGGCACTGGGGCCCGCTAGTTTGGGGGCTGGGAGGAATGTTGTGCGTAAAATGTGGGGTCAACAGGTCTGAGTGTGACTCCTGGCTTTCAGTCATCATTGAACCCGTATTTATTGAGCATCTAACATGTGCCAAGCCCTGTGCCAACCACCAGGAGATGCAATAATGAGAAGCTGTCCCAGCGCTTACAAGGCAATGGATGTAACAGACAACAACAAGTAAACAAACAAACTCACATTTAGGAGCAATAAAGGAGCAATTCCCCCAGTATAAACCTGATGGTCAGGGAAGGCTTCCCTGAGGAAGTGATATTTGATCTGAAGAATGAGTTAGAAATTAGCAAGGGACAGCAAATGGGCAAAAGCATTCCAGACACATGGAACATCCAGCACAAAAGCTCTAGGAGGGAGAGAGCTGGGTACCTTGGATAAAATGAAAAAATAACCCAAGCGATGAAAGCAAAAAGGTGAAGGCAAGAACGTGGCTAGAGAGACACAAGGGGATCAGATCATACTGGCCGTTGTAGGCCACACTAAGGATTCTTATCTTCATCTAAGATCTTCATCATTTGGAAGCCGACAAATGATTTTAAGCAGAGGAACAGCCTAATGACTCTGGCTACAGTGTGGAGAAGGAATGGGGTGGGGTTGGGAGGGAAAAGGCAGAATGTATACATGGAAATTATTGCAATACAAGGTGGTGGAGTCTTGGACTATAGCATCTATGGGGGAGACATGGAGAAGTGGGCCTATTTGAGAAGTATTCCAAAGGCAGAATCTGCAGGATGTGGTGATGGACCATATGCATGTTGAGAAAAAGTAGGGGGTTCAGAAGGATGCCTAGG